CTGGAATGTCAGGAATGCAGGACAGTCTGATCTCAGAGAGGGAGAGTTTGGAGAAGACGGAGAGTCAGGGGAGACAGAAGAAGATGAAGAAGAGCTGGGGGGGCAAGAGGAGGGGCGAGGGCCCAACACTGCACGTCTGTGAACAGGTCTCTCCATGGAACGAATGACTAATTCAGTTTGAAGTTGGTCTCAGTGGTCAGTCTGTGGCCAGTCTGTGGTCAGGGGACACGCTCCGATGGTCTGCAGACTGCAGTGGAGGTCTGCAGGGTGGGGTGGAGGTCTGCAGGGTGTGGTGGAGGTCTGCAGGGTGTGGTGGAGGTCTGCAGGGTGTGGTGGAGGTCTGCAGGGTGGGGTGGAGGTCTGCCGGGTGGGGTGGAGGTCTGCAGGGTGGGGTGGAGGTCTGCCAAGTCACAGACTCACCATGACGACCGCCCACAGCTGCTGCAGACTGCAGAGAACCTGGCCCAACAGGGAATCATAAGTCACAGACTCACCACGACGACCGCCCACAGCTGCTGCAGACTGCAGAGAACCTGGCCCAACAGGGAATCATGGGTAATGACCTCAGCCTCAGGGAGAATTATAAGAGCTAAAATAATCTGCCATGACCCACTGATCTGACCCAGGATCAGGTGATGACTGACGGCCATTTTGAGAGAAGCTGCAGAGTCAGCAGTTCTCATCTTCTGACTGGATGATGAAACAATGGATTGTGTAACTGCATCTGATTGGTCGAGAGATCTGTGGAGAGCGGACCTCGGGGTATCTGAGGTATCTGGGATGGTTCTAGACCTGACGTCTGACTGGGACTGATCGGGTTCCACTGTTGGTTCTGGTCTGTTCATCCACACATACAGTAACAGGCAGTAACCACTAGTCTGCGCTCTGCACCACTCCTGAAGATCTCGACGTACTGCAGTGAAGTTCCATGACTGACCACTGTCTGATTTTTTTTTTTTTGCAGTCTTCAGCTCATGAATGTCTCCCGTCCCGTCCTGTGACATCACCGTGGCCGTGACAACGGACTGAAATCTTGACTGACGGACGATACGTGTCAGAGAAGAACATCAGGAATGTCTCCTGTCCCTGGAGCCACAGATCAGTGATCTGATCATGTCACAGGAGGACGACCTCAGGATCAAAGGTCACATCACGGCTCTTCAGGACGGATGGTTCTGGAAATGTGATCTGAAAAAAAAAAAAAACGAATTTCTTTCAAAATTGAAAAGCCTCATTTATGCGTCTGTGTTTGTTGGTCGTGTCAGAGCTGCTGAAGTCACATGATCGTCCAAACGTCTCCTCAGTCATTCCTTACATATCAGCTCATTTCACCGACTCACAGCTGATCGCACACACTGCGACTTCACTGCACCCACTGACTTGAAGTGTGTGTGTGTGTGTGTGTGTGTGTGAGTCTGGCTGCAGGCCGCCTCGTTCCCACGCAGCAGGTTTAAAAAGGAAGTGTAGAGATCTCCTCTTCTTCCTCTTCATCTTCTCCTCTCCGCAGGAATGTGTTCGTCCAAAAACCAAGCTGTCCCTGAGCCTCAGCTGTTCTTCTCTCTGCTCCACATGGCTGACACACTGCAGTTCTTCACTGGCAAGCTTTATGTTCCTCTATGCATGCTAAAGCTGCCAGCTGAAGAACTGTGGTGGTCAGCCCGGGCCTCGGAGAACAGACGGACGGACGGACGGACGGAGAAGGAAGTGAGGACGGAACATGAAACATGGATGGATTTCTGACCTTCAGTCCCTGGAGCCACGTGTTGGTCTTCTGTTGGCTGTGACTATGATCTGGTCTCCACTGTCACCAGGGTCAGAAGGTGGTGCTGTAGTGAAAACACAAAGAATCACAAACAATATGTTAAAGTATGAATTAAACACAGCTCTTTAACATAACACATGACTACCTTCATTTTAGCCGTGTTTACAGTAGTAGTTTAACTTTGCTAAATGCCAATGTTTCACTGGTTGTGGCTGAACATAAGGGACATTATTGGGGTAAATAATATTCCTGTTTTTAAACAAAGAATGTGTAAAAAAAAATCTTGTTTGAACTTGGATGAAATTGAAATGTGGATTTCAATAAATGGTATTTTTAACATTCTTGTGACAAACCTACTTTTTCTCTCTTTATATGAATCACTACACAACTGTGGAATATTAACAGAGTTAAAGCTACTGTTACATGTAACGTGTTTGTACTACACGTCATACTGCTGTGCTGCTTACTGAAGAACTTACCATTTTGTTTGCTAAATCCTCAACTCTGGCGCGTTTCCAGTAAGTAGCCGCTAGAGGGCGACATCGTCCGCAAAGCCACAGTAATGTAACCTACAGCACAGTGGATATTAGCATTATCACAGTACGTCAGTATCCGTCCCGAATAAAAACCTGACGCTTTTAAAATTACATGTAAAAACGCTTAAAGTTTTTAAAGAAGTTAAATCTTAATGAACCAAGGAGTCATTTTTATAAATATCAATACGTTGGCTTCAAATGCCGCAGCGTCTTGGCACTACTTTCTGCTCTAATGTATTTGTTCGACGTCATTTAATATCAAGAGGATAAAAATGTTCCGCTCGTGACCGGACCAATATGGCAGCCACGTTGACGTATCGCTGGACATGGGCGGGGCACTCAACGCGTCCTTCGGGGGTTGTGACGTCGCCGTCAGAGAACTATTCCGCACTCGGGATTAAAGATGGCGCCCTCTCACGCACTGCGCTGCTGTAAACGGGCTCTGAACTGGATACCTGTGTTCTTCATTCACCTGGTTGTCGGTTGGTCCTACTACGCCTACGTGGTGGAGCTGTGTGTGTGTAAGTACCGACATTGTTGTTGTTTTTTTGTCCCAGTCTCACTGGGTCAGATCCGGGGGAGTGTGTTGACAGCATCCGCGGTTGCCAAGTTAATCTGCTGGGAGTTGGAGTTATCATCATATCCTGGTCTGTTACAGGTGCTCGAATGTTGTTGTTGTTGGGTTGTTTTTTTAATTTATTTTAGTAACTGTTAAATCCAGCTGTAAAAATGTTATTTTATCCTAACATGTAAGAATGTGTTCGAGTTAAAAGACTTCAGTAAGTTGAGTCTAAAACGACAGGGTAATAAACGTCATAATATCGTAAAACACGAAAAAACATCGAGCGGTTATTGTGAAAAATTGTACCGGATATTGTATAAACTTATGATCTATAAAAAAATTTAAAAATGAAAAAGAATGTAACTACTGTGTTATTCACCGGTTAATATTTTCTCCAACAAAAAAAAATCTGAAAAAAGTTTTTTTCTAAATATTTAATGCAAATAATGAGTTTAGTCCCAAAAATAATGAAAAACTCAACCATTATTATTGTTCCAAACAACACAGAGTTGTTGTGTTCTCAGATGAAAAAGTCAGATGAACTCAGATGAAATCAATTCAACCGTTACAGAAGAAGAAAGAACAGAAATGAAATCAAATAAATTAGTAGCTGTCAATCAAATTAGTGAGTTTTGTTTTGAGTTTTTTGAGTAAAATAATTAATGTGTTGTTTTTTAAATGTTTTGTTGTGTATTTGCTCTGTGACATTAACAAAAAAATATATCAGAGTTTTTAGAGAATTAACCACAAATATAACATTTTAGAAACGTCTTCTCTAAAAATAATAACTAGTAACTAATTAATCAACAGGCCGTATGAATAATCACAGCCTTAGTTAACGGGTTAGTTAGTCCTGAGGTTGGTTTGATGTCACATGATGGTCATAAAAGTCAAGTCTTGTTCCTGTGTGATAATGGATTAGTGGGACTGGATCACAGCGTGTCTACAGGCAGAGACAGTCGTATTGTTCAGTCGGTCACACTGTGTCACACTGTGACCGACTGACTGACTGACTGACTCTGTGACCGACTGACTGCTCGGACCAGGGACGTCCCTGCTGATGTAACAACCCTGGTCTGTCCGGGGTCGGACCCCACCCCCACCGCCCCCCGCTGGCTGTGCCAGGCTGCTGCCACATTGTGACTGATTGTTTCCTCTCCGGCGCCTCCTCTGTCGTGAGCGCTGTTCTCTCTCCACCCAGTACTTATTGTCAGTGTGCCAGTCTGTTCACTCAGAGAACCATCGGTTCCACAAGTGCTACTGTACAACCAGGGGGTCTCTGAGACCAAAGCTCTGACCCGCAGTACCACAGACTCAACACTAGGCTGAAGGTGTTTGTGTGACTGAGACCCTGTAGAAACTGAGCACGTTAGAAATCAGAAGGGAAGTGAACCGACAACCATGTGTCAGGTTCTACTGCTCTGTGATTTTTTATTATTATTATTTTTTTAAATTATTATTGTGTTTTTTTGTCCTTTTTCCAGATACAATCCAGACTGACGCAGAACGAGGTGAGAATCTGTTTGGTTTTTAAAGATTTTTTTTTTTCTCACAAACTAAAAACCAGTTTTTGTTTTTGTCGTTACAGTCAGCTACTTGATCATCTTTCACGTCTTCATCTTCATCTTTTTATGGTCCTACTGGAAAACCATCTGGTCCACACCGGCCACTCCGTCAAAGGCCGTGAGTCACGTCGATTAGTCGTAGGCACCCCACGTCTGGGTTTAAAAGTGGGTCACAAACAGGCGCATACTGCCACCTACTGTTCTAGAGTGTGTAGTGTCATGGTATGACCAGTGACTCCTTATTCCGTGAATCATTTTTTTAATTTAACCGATGAGAATTGTCACAGATTTTCACCCGGTTCACGATGCGTCGTTCCATCTCTACTGTTGATGCAACAGGAATCGGACTTTTCTTTTATCACATGATGAAACACCGTTTCCTTCGACCGAATCGCTCTGTTTTCTCCTGCCCTCAGTTTTGTTTGCCCCGGGCAGAAAAGGAAGCGTTTGAGCGAGAAGAACGAGCCGAGAGGCAGCAGGAGATCCTGAAGAAGGTGGCCAGAACTTTACCGGTCTACACACGGACGGCCGGAGGAGGTGAGACCACCAGGACTGAGACCACCAGGACTGAG